CTGTCCACCATTAACGCCTCCTTATCTGTCACTGTCCCACTGTCCAGCTCAGATCTCAGAGAGGCCTCCCTTCACCACTGTCCACCATTAATGTCTCCTGACCCCTCACTGTCCCGTCGTCCAGCTCAGATCTCAGAGAGGCCTCCCTTCACCACTGTCCATCATTAACGCCTCCTTATCTGTCACTGTCCCATTGTCCTGCTCAGCCTTCTCCATGACACTTGACACACACTCATATGTTTAATTCATTTCTTGTCTATCGACCCCTGCCCTAAATCTCAAAAAAGTGAGGACCCTGTTTTATTTGCTGCTGCTTCCCCCAACAGCCCTAACAGGGCCTGGCATGGAGTCCGTATACAGTGATTATTTGTTAATATTTGTTGAACTAAGTGTCTTTTCCCCACTGGGTTGTAAGTACTTAGAAGACATCTCTGTGCACACTTCAGTCTCCCGCACGTCCAGCGTGGTGCCAGCCCCTGTGTGCTCTTCTCTAAATTGGGACATAGACATGAACTGTTCCAAGTTCTTTATCCTGATGACAGTTTTTTCCCCCTAATGAATCACTACTTATAAAGAGAAGTTTTACAAAGAAGTAAATGTTTACTTGGAAACTTCCTTTTGTGTGTTCCTCTCCAGTGGTCCTAATCGCGGGCATTATATTACTATCGTGAAAAGTCATGGCTTCTGGCTTCTGTTCGATGATGACATCGTAGAGGTAGGTAGGCAGATTATTCCTCAGTAGACACGGCATAGATAGTATTTCGGGGAATGCGTTATGTCTGGACATTTAAAAAAGTAGGCCTGTTTCCCCCTGATCTGAGTTGAAAACTTCTTCCATGGAGGGAGGGAGGAAGGGTTTGTGATCATGGTTTGTGAGTTCTGTGTTCTTGTTGACGGGTCAGCCCCAGACATGGGGTCTGTGTATCTCTGTGCTCCATAATCTCATGTACATGTGAGTCCTGTTTCCTATGGGGCCTAAGCCCTGTCTGGTATAAGGCAAATAGTAAGACTTCTAAGTTCTAATAAAATTCTTTTACTAAACAGTGTTTTCTTATATTGATCATTGTTTTAAAAAATTTTTTTCACTCTTTGGGATCTGGAAATCTTTATATTACACCAGAGCATTCCATGTATTGACTTGTGTTATAAAGGGTGTTAATTAGAGTGACTTCCACACTCAAAGACATGATCTACTTAACTCACTAGGCGGTTTTAGTGTAGTAACACTGGTGGCTCGAAAAAATTAAGGTTATTCCCAGTTTATCATTTGAAAGCAAAAGTCTTGGCTTCTTCAGAGAGTGCCCGTGTGTGTCACCAGTAGCTGAAAGGGTGGCCATGTTCCTCAGCAACGGCAGGGTGTGAAATGATGGCCCTTAATTGTGACTTTATACTAAATGGTGTTCCTTGCACCGTATCGTATATTCCATTAGTTTTTCTTCCCTTTTCTCAGTTATCATGTTAAATAATTGTATTACTTATTTCTTCTTTATTGCAGAAAATAGATGCCCAAGCTATTGAAGAATTCTATGGTCTGACATCAGATATATCAAAAAATTCAGAATCTGGATATATTTTATTCTATCAGTCAAGAGAATAACTTAAAGAACTGTGGGACTCATTCAAGCAGGGACCTGTGCAAAGCACTATTACCGGGTTTCTCTGCAGACTTTCTTCTCCCCCGGCGGCCCACAGACGGCACCACTCCAAGCCTCCACGGTCCAGCCGTGTTAAACTCTCTCCTTTTGTTTTTGTACACACAGCACTATTCTTGGTTTATTTCAGTCTGAGTTAACTACAATCAGATTATAGGAAGATTTACATGAATAACAGTTGCTAATTTTAAGATGGGGTGAAAGCTATGCCACTGCTTATGTCTAGTTGAATTAGAATGGCATTTTCTTTGAATGTCTACGGTCTGTTTTGAGTGTTTGCTAAACTTCTAACTGGTTTGCGGGGTCTCCGTACGATTCATTCCTTTACCTTGTCCCTGGAAGCATTGCTGCCCCTTGTCAGCTTCTCCACCTCTTCTCTGACACGAGGACAGAGAATTGGGGAGCTGTTGGCCTTTCAGGCCTGTGTCTATAGCTTTAAGTTTGTCTAAGCAAAAATGTTTCAGAGTGAGTAACCTCAGCACTAAAATCATCCTCCACGTGGCTGGCGCAGGGTGAAGAGAGCTGTCCGTGGTGGCTGCAGTGGCTAGCGTTCGCACCCGCCATGCTAACCTAGCCATTTAGAAAGAACCCCAGGGGACAAGGAGGGGTGGAGCTCAGGGCAGGCAAAGCCAAGAGGAGGGAGTCTCTGTGGGCAGTGAAAATCACTTTTCTTACCTTTCTACCAAAACCAAGTTTCAGGAAAATAACTCTATGCTGTTTATTTTGTAGTGACCCTTTTCTTCTGTAAGGTCCTGTGAATTGTATTTATCTTGTATCTGGCACTGCGGAGCTTTCCACGGTATCTTTCCAGTCCTGCTGGTGTTGTGCAGTCTGTGGCTGCGGGGCTGGCAGACCTCCCGGGAGCCAGTCGGCACTGACATTGGCCTTCATCAGGAACAACCAAGACACTGCACCTTTACAACCGTCAGCACATTGTACAGCTTAATTTTTAAAAAGATTCTGTCTGTTAACTGATGCACCAGGGAGTCCTGGGGCTAATACCAAACCTCCCAAGAGGGATTACTGGAGTTAGCTGGGCACAAAGGTGGGTCAGAGGATGTGTCAGGGACAGCAGGGGGACGGACAGAATGGCGGGGATTTCTTTGGCTCAGACTCCAAGGATGCTTGACAAGACAGAGTGTTTTGGAAGAACCTCATCTCACTGTACTTACTTTCCCTTTTTTCACTTGTGTTGTATATGTATTTATTAGAGCATCTGAGTATTGGTACCTTTTATTAAAAGGGTCAATTTTCTGTTTTTGCCATCGGGCTGGTTTTTGGTTTCGTACAAATATTACAAGTCATAGATCCGGCTCCCTTGGCGAAGTCACTTGATTTCTATACACTATGTTAAACTGTGAACATGACGTTTTGTTACCTAATGCATCTGCTAACAAACATGCAAACTTGTGGAATAATGTGAACCGAAGTTGAAAATGTTAGTGGCCATTCTAGAACAATGAAGAGGATAGCACTTTATCTGGATGAAAACTGGATTTCTTATCTTTGAAATACATGGAACCATTTACTGCTCAGAACTTAGATAAGCATGCCAGCATTTCATTTGTTCATGCTTGAGGTGAAACGTTTTGCTTTCCACTGGAGAAGACAACACAGGGTAATCTTCATGTTACTGTTTTATACAAGTGATGAAAATGTACATTGCCTTATTCAGAGGCAAATTCATATTTATAAATATTCAGTCTTTGTTGCTTCCATGAAACCTACAGTACCTGGAAGGTGAGTCTTTATTCTTTTTTTAAGGAAGGCACTTTCCAGTTGAAGGTAATTGATAAGGCAGATGTTTGTATCACATATACCCCATATGACTGCGAGTTACAAAGTTTAAGAAAATGATAGTTGATCTCTGATATATTTGGAAATGATTCATAAGAAAACCATTAAAACTACCTTTGAAATGACTTTTGAAACTAATGTATTTTAGAAGTTTTAGTTGGAAGCCTGTTGAAATATTTCAACTAAGTCATAAGTTGAGTACATTTCTTTTTTGTTTGGGTACGTAAAAAGTTTTTCCCAGTGACTTAACTAAAGTAATTCCTTTTCATAGACTTAGCTAAAATGCAGTCTCATGGGTAGATTTTTGGAATAAAAAAGGATAAGGAAAATAACACAAAGACATTAAAACAGTTGTGTAATGCAGAGAAGAAGGTTGGAAAAGACCAGAAGACACTTCTCCAGGAACACTCCACCCGTTTTTATAAACTGTAGAGCAACTTAGTAATTTTTTTCTCTTTTTCTTCAATAAACAAAAGGAACACTAGGCAGCTACATCCCCCGCCCCCCCCCCGCCCCAGTCATTTCTCTTTATGTGAAGACGATCGCATGCACAGCTTTCTCTGTCATCCCTCATTCAAGGTGTAAAGCTGGCAGTAGTGACGGGAGACGTGAGACCCGTCTGAGGTCAACAGAAGCACAAGGCTCAGTGACACCCTCTCCGATGGCCAGAGGGGTTGTGTATCATTTCCCAGCAGGAGTGAGGAGGCTTTCTGTATTTCTTTTTAATTGCTGGGTGTTTTAAAACAAGTTACAGTGTTAATACACATTTAAAAAAAAAAGAAATCTCTTTTGGTTACTTACTACTTTAGCATCTACATTATGGTACAGAATGCTGAAAAGGCATTTGTCTGAGAGTTAGTTTTGGTAAAACGTTGGCATCCAGTCCTGTTATGCTGATGCATTTTCCATTCCAAGGCACTAGGAGGTGGGCTGGGTTGAAGTGAGCAGGGAACAACACGAGCAGGGCGTTGGTTTGAATGGGAAGCCAATCAAATTTGATGTCATGACCTGGTATATTTTGGATTTAAGATGAAATAGAGAAGAAGATGACAGATGTGGTCCCTATGCACTTATTTTCATGGATACCCTTAACTTCATGGGCATGCCTAACAGAACTGTGTTCTCACTGGAGCTTAGGGCTTATTTTAGATATTGGAGTGTAGCTTTATTACAGATGGATTTATCTTTAAACATTGCATTTTGATCAACTTTGTATATTCATGTGTATAAAATACTGTGCAGTAAATGTTTTGCCCTCATTTGCTATTACATGGCCAAGGCATTTATCAGCACTGTTGTGATTAACTCATGTAAATGGCATGGTCAGGGAAAATTATTTCCTACTTTTCTGCCTAATTAAATTTCTGTTTTTCAGTATTACGTTAATTTATTTTTGGCTTCCATTTCTGTGTGACCAAAATAGTTACTGTATTTGTGTGGCATTCTTAGTTTGTTGCTTAAAAAAAAAAAATTGTAGTTTTTATTTAAAATAATCTGTACCTTCATTTTTTTTTTAATGTAACCAATTCAAGCACTTTAAGCAATAATGTCAATCTTGTGAAATTTCAATCAGTTTAACACCCTGCCTCTAAAATTGTTTGCAAAAAATAAATAAATAAATAGGAATTCTCTTTCTAGAGAATTATATCCAAGCAATGCTACACATGTGGCCTTAAAATCTTTTTTATGAAGTGTGAGTCAGTGGCAAGCCTCACATCCAGGTAATCATTCCAAACTTAATTTTGTAGGAGTGGAAATGTAAAGAACATTCTTACCATTATAATATATAAAGACACTATTATAATATATAAATTATAATATATAAAGACACTATTACTGTCAAGGTTGATAAAGTCAATGTTCTGGAGATAACTCACCAGTCTTTTGGGTGAAAAAAGATCAACAGAACTAATCCAGAAAGTGGCTACCTGAGGATAGCAAATTGAGAATATAAGTAAAAAGAAAGAAGTTGGAAGTAGCGGGGCCTCGATTGACTCCTTGTCTGGGATTTGCATATTAGATCCTCTTTACCAGTTATGCAAGGGAAGATCCATTCTTACGGTAAAGAAGCAGCTTTCAGCTCTGGAATCCCATCAGCTTCTGGGTCCTGGGAAGGAGGAGGTGTGTGGTGTAGTCCTGCTGTCCTGACGGCCCATCTTCCGCTCCTGGGCTGGCTTCTGAGTTGTAGGGGCCCCAGCTGGGTTCATACCGCTCCCTGCTCTCGAAAGGGGCAGGTGTGGGTCTGTGCCCTGTGTCTCAGAGAAGCCCACAGTTACTGGTGAGGGCTTTTCCCAGCCGTCCCTCCAGGGCTTCTGTGTACAGGAGATTGTCATCTGAATACATGCGTGGGCCCAATTATGGGAATACAACCCTCTGGACCAAGAGTTGGGACATGTGCCTGTGAGTGCTGGGTCTGCTGGCCTCTGTCCATCTTCTGGGCCATGCAGTTGAACCTGACTAAGCTGGAACAGAGGCTTCTGGGAAAGCCTTCTTGGAAATGTGTTCCCTTTTTCAAAGTCTCATTTTCTCCATCTGTCAAAGTTTATAGGGTAGGCCTGTCACCTCTATGACACGATTTCTGAGGGACGAGAAGTGTTCCTCATGTCTCCAAATGTCCCTCCCTGTCTTTTCATCAATACTTAAAAATACTTTTAACAGGGAAGGAAGCCTGGCTTCCTGGCTGTGCATTTACATGAAGAGAATAATATTTGCTAAGTCGTTCTGTTTTCCTGGGTGAACATTTTAATTGTGGGAGTGGTACTAATGACAAACACTTAGACTCGTCCTACACGTGCCCCAGGGGAGGGATTTTTAATTAATCCTTTATTTGCCACACTGTGTGCCAAGCATTGTGATGGGAGTTGGGTCATAAAGAAGGTGAAGCAGCTCAAGTTTCTCTTCTCATTTCTTGACTCAGAAGAAACACCTGTGAGAGAAAGAAATGGAAAATTTAAGTTTGGGAAATGACGCACGTTGGGGCCTCCTTGAACGAAGTCCAGCAGTTTGGAGTTCAGCTTGGATCTTGCCGTGCAAATGGTGCTGCTGGATAAAGCAGCCCCCCCCTTTCTGGGACCCCACATTCTTCGCTGCCTGTTTTCAGGGCCCTTTACCTGCCTTCTAGCTCCTTCTAGAGATGATGCAATTTTATAAACAAAGCGTAAATCTACTGTGTTGCAGCGGTGAGCTAGAGCATTTTGCCTTTTCATTGTCACCTGAAAAGAACCAGTATCTTGAAAGTGCTGAGGGCAGCTTTGCTGCATCTAGAATCTTGTTTCTAAGCAGTGTGTTTACATTATTACCTAGAGCCATCTAGACCCAACCAAATCGTCAGGGCACAGAAGTTCTCAAGCTGCGTCATGATTTCATCAGCTTATCAACCTCTGCTTTAAAATGATCTGAGCAAAACACATTAGGAGCTTATAAACAAAAGAAAAATAACTTCATTTTGGTCATGAGACCCTAGAGTCAGACATAACATCAGATTTTGTAAAAAGGACTCCTGATTTTGGACTCATTTCCCACATTGGTATGATAAAGTGTATGTGTAGTAACAACCTGCAGGGTGTCACGTTCCAGTCGTGAGTCAGGGATGCACCTTGCTCTGCCTTCTCTCCCGGGAGTTAGCGCCCAGACTGGACGGGCAGCAGCTCCGACTTCTGCAGAGGCTCTCACGGGAAGGAAGTCACGGTATGGGTACGGTAGTTTGCAGTTCTTTTTTTTTTTTTCTTAGAGACAAGTCTCACTTTGTTGCCCTCCGTAGAGTGGTGTGTCACAGCTCAGAGCAACCTCTAACTCCTGGGCTTAGGCGATTCTCTTTCCTTAGCCTCCAGAGTAGCTGGGACCATAGGCGCCTGGCTATTTTTGTTGCAGTTTGGCCGGGGCCAGGTTTGAACCCACCACCCTTGGTATATGGGGCCAGCGCCCTACTCACTGAGTCATAGGCGCCACCCTCCATTTATTTATTTTTGGAGACAGAGTTTCACTTTGTCACTCTCAGTAGTTCACAGTAACCTCAAACTCTTGGGCTCAAGTGATCTTCTGTCTCGGCCTCCAAGTAGCTGGGACTACAGGGGCCCACCACAATGCCCAGCCTTTTTAGAGATGGGGTCTCGCTCCTGTTCAGGCTGGTTTTGAACTTAAGAGCCCAAGTGATCCACCGGCCTCGGCCTCCCAGAGTGCTGGGATC